CACTCTAGAACATTATATATTTTAAATCTGAATATCTGAAAGATAAGTCTTTGTGAATTTCTACAATATGGGAGAAAGAAAACAGTAGTTAAAGAAGCAACAGATATGGGCTAGACATTAATACATTTCTCTGTTCACAGAAAGGTATGTAGGGGTGATAAGAAAATGGCAATGACACAAAGGCCATTCATATTTATCATTACTTACTCAAGATCTGGTCTCTCTCAGGTATTTGGTATGGGTTGCTAATAATCTTTAAAAGAAAACTATATGATAGAGGAGATGTAAACACATACACATCCAGCTGTTTCCCCTAATGAAAGTGTTCTATTGGAGCTCTCACTTACCCTGCTCTTCCTTTTGACAAGGCAGGCTAATGCTATCAGTGTTGCATTTATTTATCCATATTTATTGACAAGTCATTCTGGAAGTTGATCTCCTTCAACTTTCTAATATTTACAATGACCAACATATCATTTGTCCCCTGGATATTTGCTTCTCATCCTGTTTAACTGTGAGACCAGAAAAATGTGAGAAAAAGACATTTGAAAGTCTATGTCTAGTAAAAAATAACTTTAGAGATGGCCAGTGTCTTATAAGGAACACTTAAAAGAATCCAGTCTTCAGGAATGGGAAGAGATTAACATAAATTATCATCTAGCTTCATTTAGCTTTGATAGTACACATTTACTCTGCATCAGAAATGTTCTCGATAGGGATGCCATGAGCTGCATAATAAACACTGTGCTTGGATTAATTATTTGGTTGAATAAGTGGATGAATTAATTTCACTTACATACAGTGGAGGTCTAAGTTTCTGGTGTGCATTTCTTCTTATCCTACAGCTTCTTGGAATCAAAATAAAAGTAGTACAAATTGTAACCAAATGGTTATAGTTAAAGGACCTATTTGAATTACCAAATAAATACATTACATAAAATGTAGAACTTCAAGTGAAGAAAAATCTCTAATTAATGGAAATTTTTAAGAGCCTTTAGCAAGTTCTTTGCTGAATGCATGTTTGGTTTCTTGATCCTCCAACCAATCACATTGACAATGACAAAAGATATGCAAATTTAAACGGACAATAGTCAAGCCAAACTGCTCTGACTCATACCAACAAGGACATTTTCAGCATATATTCAGCTTGATTCACACACACAAGGGTTGATAAAATCAAGGAACATTTTAATAGTTACACTTGCCTATAATCTGTGAGCTATCCCATAATCATCGACCAAGAACAATGCAAACAAGAATCAAAATTATTTCACAAAATAAATTAACATATGAAACATATGCATGACTTAAGCCCAACAGAATTATGTTTACTCTGTCACTGCTGAATAATTGCATAGCAACAAAAACTGTGCATTGCTATGTTTAAATCACCATTTTGAGTGTATGCTTTAAGCAAACAAACTACGTTTTTGGTAGAATAGCTCATTTATGGCAATTTGGAGCTAGATTTCCCTCTCCATGCCCCTCAAAAATCTAGGCCAATTTACAATGATTGAATTATAATCAAAAATGATATGATTGGTATATTGAGAGAATAACAAGCTATACAACAAACTTCATTTGTTTAATATGAAAAAAAGTTTTCTCATTAAACACACACACACACACAGATAACCCATCATAAACTACTACTTCAGGTAGAACCTGAAATTTAAGCTACAATTATCAAAATTTGTAGAATTCTTCTGCTGTCTATTTTCCTGCCTACCTACTTATTTTCCACCTGTAGTCTGTAATAGGAATTACTACTGTAATACAAATTGCATGTTTGGAAACTCTAGAACTACCCAGTTCCAATTAACTCAAAATTAAAATAACAGTGATCTTAGTTCGGTCCCTAGTGGACAAAAGTAGTATAACTTATTTGGCATGATTCAGAAAAACAGGAGGTGACCTAAGAGAATGTGACCACACAGGAACAAAAAGAGCATTTGTCCTTCCCCTATCTTTTATCTTCCTAAAGGGTTTTCTCTGTTAACAGACTATCTTAAAGACGCCTGCTTGCATTCCTATCCATAGGCACCAAGTGAAGGAATCCCTTTGCAAAGGCCCTGAGGCAAAAATTTACACAAATGGGGACACTGCCACCCTTCTAGCAGCACTGTTCAATAACTGCTGCTTACCTGTTACACAACTGAACAGAGAACAAGGAGAGATTGAATGGCAGAAAGTGTGTTTCTAATTAAATAGGCACATCTTCAACAAAAGTTCTTTACTGTTTTCAAGACAAGTAGGTGAATAAGGGGTTTAACTTGATTTCTATAAATTGGGATGAAATGCATACTTGATGTTAAATTATCTGGATACTTAGGACTCCAAAAATGGCACTTTCTCTGAAACCACAATGCCCAGAGAAAGAAGCTAGTGTGGGAGGATAGCAAAGACTGCATGTGTTCAGCCCAAAGCTGCAGGTGCACCTTCCTGACAGCCACCATGTCTTCTCTCGTCATGGACAAATGACACCTTCCTGAAAGTTCACATTAAAATGTATGCCCTTGATTTTTTTTTTTTTGAGGACAGAAATATGAACAGTTCCCTTTGCTTAAACATATAATTTCTCCAATCAAATATTATATTTTATGTTTATTCTCACATTGTGTTCATTTCACTAGAGGTTGAGAAAAGTAAATATTTTGTGATGATTTCCCATCCTAGCTGCACGGAATTTCCTGGTATAAAATCAATTTGATCCTAAATGGGTATTGTCAATATTCTTTTCTTTTTCACCAAATATGCTTTTTATTATTTTTTAAAGTTGGGCTTGGACAGGAGAATATTCAAGCTAAACTTAAAAAAACTAAAAAGAGAAAACCAGAAAAATCGTAAAATATGCCAATTCCTGGACACACGGAGTGCCACTGTACATTTGCAGACTTGGACAATCCTGAAAACCTTGGCTTACCCAGGAAGTCAAACAGGGAGAGCCTTCTTGCATTTGCAAACACTGCCCCCCTGGAGCAGAAGGTAAACACACCAATGCCCCCCTAAGGATCTCTAAGTTAGCTGCAGTGCAAGAACGGAAAAGCCTCCGGTGCAATTAGAAACTGAAAGCAATCACTTACTTTTTGCAGCCACTGAGTATAATTTTCCATCACATGCTCCAGATGTTGAAGTTTCTGGGAAGAGAAATCCGGTTCCACGTGTGGAGCATCTCTCTGCAGAGCATTGGTGTTGTACTGGTCTGTCGTACTCTCACGACAGTTCCCGTCGTGTTCTGGAAGAATGAAAGTGTAGGCGCATTGCCCATGTTGAATCCGGTTGTATCTTCTCCCACTGTTTTCCGGACTTCGGCGCTGATTGCTGCACCCTATGTGAGTCAGAATGGCAGCGAGGAAAGCAAAGGAAAGGACAACTGTCATTGTACTGCCCGGACGCTCCTTCCGTGCCTCTCGCAAACCTTGCTCCTTTCTTCTGACCTTTAAACTAGTTCTTTATTTCAGGTAAAACTGCTTACTTGTTTGACTTTTTCCCCTTCAAAGGAAACGCTGGAAAAATCACAGAAAACTAGCCATTTGTTAGCTTTGTTCTAAAATGTTATTTTTTTATTTCACTGTAATGATAGTTTCCTTCGTTAAAACTTGAGATATTTATTGCATAGTAGCGGAGATTTATTGTTTCCTCCCAGTGTAACCGTTCAGCGTGGAGCCTGAGTCAGCTGCGTGTACATATTCTAGACCCTTTCCTCTGCCCTATCTGCGGCAGATCTGCTATTTTCTCCCAGACCTCAGTGAGTTTTATTAAGGTTGCACATCCAAGCCAAGCTGGAAGCAGGCAGCCTTTCACAAGATGACTTGACAGGAATGCATGAGTGTGCCCCTATGCTAAGGATTGCTGATGGCTTAGGGTGGCGGATCGTCTTACAAATTGGCTAGATGCGCATGACCTCGATCATGTATGGCCCTCCCGCCCCTTCCACAGACAATTGCCCTAAGCCTTTGGAGCAGATTCATGGAAAATCAATAAATAGAGCAGTCCACCTTAATACACTTTTGTGTGCATGCCGACCTACTAAAATCTAGCAAACTAGTAGTGTGTTTATAAAGTTCCTATTTAATTGAGGGCTCTAAGAAGAAAATTGATAAAGCTCAATGAAATTCTTTTTTGTAGTAAATGATAAATCTGTATAATTGCTAAACTTCTTTAAACCACATTTATGCTTGACTCTTCAGAAAAATGTATTAAGAACTATTTTCAGAGACTGTCTTTTTCTCCTGTATTCACTTTGACTTTTAAGAGTTGGAGAAAATAATCAGAGAGGAGAAAATTGGCAAGAAAATGACCATAATTTGTCACTCAAAACAATATAGCATGGGCATATTAAAAAGAATTATCTAAGAACTTTGTGAGGGTATGAAATTTAAATGAAACTGATTTCCTGATCAGAATACAGCCTGTCATGTTCTGTATACAGAAATTGAGCAACTTCCCTGGAAAAACAATGTGGTCACAATTTAAGACAGTAGCCTGAGAATTATTAATTCCTGTGGTACAGCCTAATCATATATTTCACAAGGACCTCTCTGGTGTTGCTACAGCTATCTTTAAACTGGTATCTAAGTCCCACATAAATCCTCCTGTGACTGCATAGGCAAACCATCTGAGACGAAGCATATATTGAGATTGCCAATAGCTGGCAAAGGACTGTACAAATGTTTCTGGGGCTCTATTAAAGAAGAAAGACGCACTTTCAGAAGGTGATTTCCTAAATGCAGACTATAACCATTTGAACAAAGGGGCTAACAACATATAAAGAAAAGACAGTAAATATAGAATTTAGGATACAGCCTTGAGATCTGTACTAGATGTGTGTAGAAAGCATGAATTACGCGCACAGTCTTTCACCAGGTTCTGGGGGGTATTTTAGGCAATGGAGCCTTTCAACTGCACTCATAGTGTAAAAACAGAGCCCACACATGTTGACTTTTGTGTCCAGGAGTGAAATAGTTCAGGTGAAGGTCAGTATTGGTTAGAGATGAATATTTTAAAGAGAAGTTAGAGGAGAGGCAAAACAATTTCCAGGAAGAATGTGGTTTACCGGGAAGAAAAACACCTTGCTGAGATTCATCAGTCCTTCGCACACCAAATTACCAATTTCTGATCAGATAGAAATGGAAGCGAGTTATGCCAAATACCACAATACAGTCTTTGAGCCACCTTTGAAGCCTCTTCTTACACTGCTGCATGTCTCCCTACCGGGTGATGTGTCCCTCCTATGCAGGCATACTAATATGACATTATTAAGAGGTTACTATTGGCTCGGCCTGTGCTAAGCATTCTGTACACAATATCCCATTTACTCATCCCAACAACTCTAAGTCATAGATACATTTAACCTCATTCTATCAATGGGAAAACAAGTGGTAGAAATGCTAGTTTGTCACAATTCACCTAGCTAGCAATCAATAGTACCATTATGTCAATTCAGGCAAACTGACTGAAGCCCATATTTCTAACCTCCAAACCAGCCTACCTTTGCAAACCGCTGTGCAGAATGCATGTAATTCTAAAAGGGATCCAGTTGCATTAACTTACAGACCTAAAGCTGGGTAAGTGATAGTATCAAGGAGAAAGGGGACTGTAAAAGCCAGTTGTCAGTTTATACCTCCAAAGTGATTTCATCATTTCCCTGCCTAGGGAAGGTAACATACACCAACTGACAGGTAACATACACACATCCACAGGGATGAAGTGGACTGGCAAAACACAGATCATCTAAGGACATTTTCCAACATTGCTCGCTTTGCAAATTATCCATGGAAATTAGAGAATCCAAAACCAACACCTATAAGTGCTCTGTTAAGAAATAGAGTAAAAAATTGGCTGAGAATGAACGATGAGTGGTGAGGTCCCTATTACAGGGCTCCTGTGTTTTTAAACAGCTGAGACTATTAGAAATCTGTGCCTTTGTGTGTTTGTGTGCAACTACATGTTATCTCTGTGGACTTTTCCAGTGTGAAGAAATGTAAAGAAGGAATGCACAATCCCGGAGGGAAAAGCAGACAGCTAAGAAAGGGAAGACTGAAATGCACATGAAGAAAAAAAAAAAAAAGAGGGACATGGATCATAGGGGAAAGAGAAACAGAAGGGAAAACAAGCAAACAAAAAATCCCAGAAATCTATTTATGTCTTTTTCAGAAAAAAACAAAAACAGACAAAAAAAATATTGTAAATACTAGAGTCAAACTGAAAAAATTATCTGAAGATCGATTTTAAGCAGTTAGAAAATGCATACAGAATCAACCTCAATACTTTGAAAACTCCAGCTGCAGAGACAGTAGGTATAGTGGAGAATCTTTCTTTCTTTTTTTTTTTTTTTTTTCCTTTAAGAGAGGTTTTTTGCTGTAGGTCCTGTGCACTTCCTGGAAAGATAGAGAGAGATAAAGAGACAGAAAGCAAAAAATCATCTCCTGAGAGGATGGCGGCACTGCAATCCCTTTTCCTCCATTTTCCTCTCGAAATCTTGAGCATGCATGCACATGTGCCTGGAGTGGAGTTTAAGTTGCCAGGTCTGGGACTTAAATCTCAGTCGACTATGGACTATGGGGGAGTCCAGGGACGTAACCATTACACCATCTGCTGGTCCCAGTATAGTGGAGCATCCTGACCTTAACTAAAGATAGTATGTTTGGGGTTGCCAAGAACCACACCAACACTGTTGGTTGTTGCTGATTATTTAGAAATGGTACCCAATTCGAGGGACATTTGAATTTAGAGAACAATGTGGAAAAAAAAAAAGCCATAAAAAAATTTTACTATACCACCCAAAATGGCAAAACATTTCTAAAGAGCTAAATAATTCTATTCAATTGAATTTTATGGTAGCCTGATCTTGAAAGTTTTGTATTTTATTTATACTGTTAGAGCTCTGGAATAAGGAAGTATAAGCGTGAATATTCTGGCCATACCTATGAGCAGTCCTACTAAGTCCAGCAATTTCCAGTGATATGAGAAACACCATTTACATGAGAACATAATGGCCCTATATCTGTCCAAAGATCTGGTCTTTGTTACTTATTTTCTGAACCTTTACTAATTTCTTCAGTTCCAATAAGGGATTCTTTCTATTGAATTTCAATAACCATCTCTTCATATCTCTATAACAGCACTTTTACCTTGTTTTTTTTTTTTAACACAGTGATTTTCTTTTATTATTATTATTCATGGTAAAGTATGTTTGTGCACAAGAGAGTGTAACACACAGAGAGAGAGAGGCACCCTCTACAAGGTCTGGCCACATCACAATCCCCTTCCTCCAGTTTTCCAGCCTGTCAGATCTTGGGCACACACGCATGTGCACGAGATGTTCCAGTCCAGGGATTCAAACCATGGTCACCAGGCGGGATTCAGCTTCTCTTGAGCAGCACATTACCACATCACCACTGTGCCAGGGAGCTGGCGACACCTTGCTTTCTTATTGATTCATTTTTTTCTGTCTCCCTCTCTAGCCACGAGCTGCTCCATCTTTTAACACCGATTTCCTAGCACTTGAAGCACTTTATTTAAAAAAATGAATGAGAAAATGAGCTAATTAATTACTTAATTGGTACAGCTTCCTAATTCGCTATTTGGCTACTCCCTGAATGGACACACCCTATTGCATTTGTATGATGAATTTGGCTAAACTACGAAGGTCTGGGGATAAAGCAAAACTTACTCTAAGAGATGTTAGACACAAGAACATACTAAAGTAATAATATATCATATTTTAATCCTCAGGTTAATGTCTTCACTTAATGCTTACAGAAAATACATGATTATGTATTATTATTCCCATTCTGCAAATGAGAAAATTGAGGTGCGTTGTGGTTAATTGCCCAAGATCAATGATTCTTATGTGGCAGGGCAGAATCCTCATTCTGAGGCCCACATTCATATCTAACTGAGCTATACCACTTACAACAATACCCCAGTATTAGAAAAAAGGGGAAAAAAATCTTAGAATGTAGGGTACAGGGAAAAAAAAAAACAATAATTCATTGAATCGACACAAAAATGAAAAGTTGTTTGCTGGTGATAATGTATATGGTAATGTCTTTGTCTTGGGCAATTAACCTTGATGATAAAGGAGTAAGGAAGCTGGAGTGATGTTTCCTGTGCAATAACCCCCCTTTCTTTTTCAATAAAATATATGCTTGAGACAAGTAACTTCTTTAGACTGAAGAAGAAGAAACATTGGTCCTTGCTACATACATGGAAACAGCTAACATGTGGATTGCATGGACTATTGCCACGAACACAATGAAAGTCACTTGTTTAATGTTGGTTTTTCACCCCAGATCAGCATCCCAGACCTATTGCATATGCCTTTCCTGTGCTTAGGAGGAAAATATCTGTCATCCAGCTGACTGTGACTGATTCACTCACTTTTACTCTTGGTGATGAGAGCTAAAGACATAGAAGCATGGGGACCAGCAGATGGTGTAATGGTTACATCGCTGGACTCCCACATAGTCAGCTACAGTTTGGGGCCAGACCAGCAACTTGAAACTCACACCAGGTATGTGTGTTTGTGTGTGTGTGTGTGCGCATGTGTGTGTGCATGCATGTGCAAAATCCAGAGAGGAAAAGGGATCGTAATATGGCCCTTCACCCGGGGATGATTTCTCGCTTTCTTTGTCTCTCCAGTGAGTGCAGACGCCCGATAGCAAAAATCTCTATCTGCAAAAAAAGAAAAAAAAAAAAAAGAAGAAGAAGACAGAAGCATCATCTATTCCTTTAGAGGCTTTCAGTCGCTGGCCTTACTGAGGCCTTATATAGTCACATTAAGTCTGTGGACTCCAAGATGAATCCCAGCAGTGGTAGTGAAATAATCTAACATTCCCAGTCACTTATGGACATCGA